CACGATATAAGACACCAAAACCTACATGGATACCTACCATATAGTTCTAGACATACGAAACATCAAGAAGATGCTCAAATAGTTCCACAAAAGAACAACGGGAAGTCAAAAGACCAAATACCGAGTCAAAAGAATCACGGGGAACAAATCCCCCAACGACCACAACATGTTCCCCGCGGGTGGTGCCCTGCCCGTGATTCCGCCCGCGGGAACATCTCCCACGAGGCCATGTACCCCGCGGGTGGGGCGACGGGTGGTGCCCCGCCCGCCGTTCCGCCCGCGGGTACACGTCCTGTACCAAAAACAATCCCTTCGGGGGTTTCCAACTCCAAGCTCAAATTCAAGTCCAAAACATGCCAAATCTCACCAAATACAACAAAATGACTTGAATCAAAGGAATAACCAAGCAATGGCATACAAGAACCCTAAACACAAGCTCTAGATATGCATTTTCACAAGACAATGCATAAACACTCACATTTCATAGCATAACACATGTAGAATCCAAGAAATATGCACATAGGTAAGAAAAATAGATTTTGTAGAGCATGGGTTACCTCTCAAAGACCAAAAACCTTCACTTAGCACCACACCAAGCTCCTATCAAAGCTCTCCTTCCAAATCCACTTCAAGAACATACCAAAAGATCATAAAGATCCTATCTTTAAGAAAAGACACCTATGAGAACACTAAAAACACAAGATGAACATGGATCTTACCCTCCTAGATGCCTAAATGTATGTACGGTAGAATCTTGGAGACAACTCTTGAAGTCTTGACAAGGTTTCAACTTGGCTTGGAAGAAAAGCTATCCACCTTTTTAGAGAGAAGATGGAGCTAGGATTTTGGAAAGTGTAAGGATAGAAATGAGGTGTTCTCACTAGGTTAGGTTACAATATTAACACAAGGTGAAAGGTCAAGAATACCCTTACTAATCATGGAAAGGTGTAAGGAACAAGGGAACCCCTTACAAAGCTCAAGGTACAACTTTGACTATGGGGTTGACTAGTCAATTACTAGTCCCCGACTATTAAATTTCAGGAATTTAAGGAATTAAATTACAAATTGAAATAGGATTAATTACTTAATTAATCCCTTAACCGAATTTAGATTTCGGGGTGTCACACCGCAACCCTATATATATATATATAAATAACAGCCGATGGTTCTCAACCCATCCAACTGCCCTTATAGCCAATTGATCGCAACCAATTGGGGTATCATGCACAATTAACACATAAGGAGGGGGAATTATTGGGAACACTTATCCTAATATAAATTATGTATGGCAAACCACATTAAACTACTCAACACATGCCTAAGGGGTCATGCACCTTCCTCCTAGGCCAATGGGACACCAATTCGACTAGCATGTAATACACAAGAATCTTTTATCCTAAGAATGGTACCCGATACATCAAACTAGACTCATATACGACAAACGGGGTACAACGGGACACAATGGGACACGGGGAAAATTAAACGGGAAAAAACACCGTGATTCGTACCGAAGTTCCAGCGAGTGACTCCACCCGCCGGCGGTGAACTAGAAGGCAGCGGGTGCCCGGCGGGCAGTCGCCTGCCCGCCGGCTGCCCGCTGGGAAGACGACGTTGGGCAGTGGGTAGGTGGCGGGTACCCCTACCCCCACCTACCCCCCACTGACTCCTATGTAATAAATTGGTCCCGAGATCCTTTGTGGAACCTGAAACCATGTCCAGACACATTCAAACACAAACGACGACACCACGTAATCAAGTAACGGATTAAAACCAAGAACGACACCAAATACATCCTAACACAACTCCTAAACATGCCAAGACTCAACACCCGAACATACCAAGAATAACACAATACGAAATCCACGTTATAACCCTAGGGCTCTAGTCATAATTAAAACACAAAATCAATTATATAATTTGTCATAGAATCAAGAACATCAAGATTATCACATAAGCATCAAGATTAACACATAAACATCAAGATTATCTCATCAACATCATATCAATCTCAGGCAAGGCCTTATCAAGACTCGAGCACAGAATCATATATCAAAGGAGCCAATGAAGAAGATTATAGCAAGGAAAATAGGTTTTGTTGAGACATGGGTTATGTAACACCCCAGATTTTCAGGACATTTAAAACTTATAAAATAAAGGTGAAATCTCATTAATTCCCAAAAACGTAACATAAAGAGTACGGGGTGCTATGCCACACCTGAGCTAGAGAACTCTGGTGCATAGGCCAACTAACTAATATCCTTAATAAAGTACATGCATAACATGGCACGCAGGCCGAAAGGGAAACTATCTACTTCTATGTTCCAAGATCTAACGCGCTCCAGTGACTTATTCTTCTGTGCCTGAAAGCCAAATATATCTGTTCAGCGAGAGATGCTGGTAACCCACCCCAACGCGTTGAAATACAATACAAATATATATATATATATATATATATATATATATATATATATATATATATATATATATATACGAAAAGTCATTTCGAAGCATGAAGATATATCCTAAGAGACTCTAGCTTTCAAATCAGGGAACCGACTCGACAAATAGGGGTACACACAATCTACAGTCATAACCAAGTATATACGATTCTCGACATAGGGCACAGTTATAGATAAACACAACCAATAATCACAATTAAACATGTATAGTTTACTAGTAAGAATCCTACAGTCACGTTTCCATATCAGTCACAACATCAATCCTTCTTATCTCATCATATAGCACACTTTGTTGGCGCCACAGGACCAATCGCATGCCCATACATGAGGGTCAGCGCATATAGCTCTGACACGGCCGCGCAGCACCCTGCCCCGTCTCACAATACGGAGGGGTCGATCGCAACCGACCGATGAACCGTAGCTCTATATAATATTTATATACCTGACCGGTCTTTACCAGCCTGGTTAACAGTTGGGATGGTTCTCAACCCATTCAACTGCCCGTATAGTGGACCTTTGTCCTATATAATATTTATATACCTGACCGGTCTCTACCAGCCTGGTTAACAGTTGGGATGGTTCTCAACCCATTCAACTGCCCGTATAGTGGACCTCAGTCCTATATAATATTTATATACATGGCCGGTCTTTACCAGCCTGGTTAACAGCCGGTTTGGTTCTCAGCCCATCCGACTGCCCGTATAGCCCGATTGATCTCAACCAAATCGGGATAACATGCACACATAACACATAGCAAGCACATGCAACCCACATTAACACATTGGGGAGGGGGAAACGTGTAACGAAACCTATGCGTGGTCATCCACAACTAAGAATACTCCTAAGGGGTTCATACTTCTTTTACCTAGGTCAACGGGATACCAATTCAACTAGTATGCAATATACAAGACTCATTCGACCTACGAACGGTACCCGAACATCAAACTAGACATAGGCACGATAGGAGGGGTCCGTTGGGACGCCACGGGGGTCGGGGGAACATCAAACGGGGAAGCCAGGATCCCAAAGTGTGGGAATTTCCAGCGGGTAGCCGGTGGGTGGGGGTTCACCCGCCGGTGTTACTGTTCCGGGCAGCAGGTGCCCGGCGGGCAGCTGCCCACCCGCCGGCTGCCAGCTGCCGGAGCTGCCCTTTTTGGCCGCGGGTAGGTGGCGGGTCCCCTACCCCCCACTGACTCTTTTTCACCAAAAACGCCCCGGGAACCTTTGTGGAACCCGAAACCATGCTTAGACACTTTCAAACGCAATTGATAGCACACGTAGACAATTAATGGATCAAAATCAAGAAACATACGGCACATAACCTATCATGCTTTTCTAAACATAATCAACACCCAATCATGCGAATTCCCACCCAATATACCAAGGATAATACCATACGAATTCCACGATATAACCTAGGGTTCTAATTATTTTTAAATCAACAAGAACACAATTCATCTTCCAAAATCAAGATTCGGTAGGAATATCATATAACTATCAAGAATCTCATATAATCATTAAGAACATCAAGAACACCATATAATTATCAAGAACGTCATATAATCATCAAGAACACCATAATTATCAAGAACCTCTCCTCATCAAGATCACCCATGGAATCATCCCACCAATCATCAATAATAATATCACAAACAATCAATACACAATAATATGGGGAAATCCTAAGAGGGGAATCATAGCTATGAAAATAGGTTTTGTTGAGACATGGGTTACCTCTTAGCCTTAATTAATTCCTTGGCTATGAAGGGTCTTTCTTTAAGCTTTCTTCTTTCTTGATTTCTCTTAGGGGAATTCTTGGAATTCTTGGTGTGGTGAGAGATTATTGTGGTGGGAGTTCTAGGTGCCTCCTTATGTTCCCTATTTATATACTTAAGAGTCTTACTTAGGGCCTAATTACTATAGGTTGCTAACTCTATTCCTTTTAGGACTAAGGATTGGGTTTAGAGATGAGGGCCCACGGACTATGGTGGGCTTTTATCCGAATTAATTTCTGTAATTTAATTCTTTCTTTTGGGTTATTGATTAAATGATTTAATTGATTTTAGGGATCGTAACACGGGGTGTTACAGGTTACTTCTTAGCCTTAATTAATCCTCCCTTCGCTATTAAGGTTCTTCCCTAAGATTTCCATCTGATTGATCTCCCTAGGCTTGGTGGTGGGGAATCTCTTGGGAATAATTTCGTGTAATATAACTATGGGTGGTAAGGGTTCTAATTCCTTTCTAACCCCCTATTTATAGAACCAGGAATCCTAATCAGAATCTGAATAGTAAAGGCCTACTTTCTTTATCCCTAATAGATATATAGGTCTAGGATTCCTAATTAGAATCTGACTAGTAAAAGGTTTACTCTCTTATTCCTAATAGGCTTAAGACTCTAGTTCAGGCAAGGGTCCACGGTCCATGGTGGACCACATTAATTAATTAGAGGAAACCTTAACCAAATTAAATCCTATTTAATTATTATTAACGGAATTAATTAAATAATTAATCCGGGATTTAAAGGCCGTAACACGGGGTGTTACATGTCATGTGGAGATGTTCTCCTGATAACATTCTGGCAGGTATAATCATCAAGGTAGGCAGGCTTAGTTCTGGTTCTTGTTGATCTTCTTGGCTTTGGTGTTGTTGATTCTATGTTGCCAAGATTGTTGTCCTGAACTGGAACATCAGAAGGAATCTCAGGTGAACCAGGTGAATCGGCTGTGATATCATTAGCAGGCATGATAGTGTCCTCATCATATCTTAACTGAGACACATCCTCTGAGGGTAGAATCAAGTTGGAAGGCTTCTTGATTTGTGAATTCTGGAAAGAAAAGATGTTCTCATGGAATGAGACATCCCTTGACAAAAAAAACCTCATTAGTGTGCAAGTCCGGCAATTTGTACCCCTTTACCCCATTAGCAAACCCAGAAAAACACATCTCTTGGCCCTTGGGGAAAACTTATCTCTTTGGCAGTTGGGAATTGTGGCAAATGACAAGCATCCAAACACTTTAAGGTGCTGGTATTGTGGGACTTTATTAAAGAGGATTTGGTATGGAACTTGATTACCTAAAGCTGCTGATGGGAGCCTGTTTATCAAGTATACTACATGAAAGATGCAATCACCCCAAAATTCCTCAGGTAGACTAGCCTGAAACCTTATGGCTCTTGCCATAAACAGAATGTGCCCATGTTTTCTCTATACAATACTATTCTATTGAGGGGTATAAACACATGATGTTTGATGAATAATTCCTCTCTTCTGGTAGTATTCTTCCATAAGAAATTTCTTCCCATTATCATACCTGATACACTTAATGTTCTTCCCAAACTGTGTGTTGATTAGTTCATAGAAATTGTGCATAATGTGTTTTACTTCACTCTTGTTCCTCATGAGGTAAACCCAAGTGGCCCTGTTATGATCATCCACCAAGGTTAAGAAGTATTTGTGACCATAAATAGTTGCAACATGAAAAGGACCCCATATATCAATATGAACAAGGTCAAAACAGTGACTAGAAACAGATGAGCTAGACTGGAAAGGAAATCTTTTTTGCTTAGCCATATGGCAACATTCACAAGCTGTGGGCTTGTCATTACAAATTTTGTTGTCTAAAGCATGAAGAGCTTTTAGTTTTTCTTCTGAAGAATGCCCTAGTCTAGCATGCCAGAAACTACAAGTATTTACAACAGGAAAAACAACAGGTTTACAGTGAGCAGAAGCAGGAAAAGTAAGGTGATAAAGTCCCTCCTTCAGCCTTACCCACACCAATCATCTTCCCATGGTGTTGATCTTGTATAATGCATTGCTCAGTATGGAAGAGTGTGTTATAATTAGAACCTCTCAGAAGCTCTCCCAATTAAAGAGATGAGATTATAGTGAAATAAAGGAACACATAGGACATTCTGCAAAGTCAAATCAGCAGACAAGTGGACAGTCCCAATGTGTGACACCTCTGCATGGTGTCCATTTGGCAAGTTCACATGAACTCCTTGCACTTTCTTGGATGTGTGAAGTAAAAGTACACTGCATACAATATGGTGTGTGGCACCACTATCAATAATCAATTAAGATTCAGTATTAGCATTTTTACCTTCAAACTGAGTGTTGGGAATGAAGTTAGCTGCTATGGTATTGACTTGTGGATTAGGACCAAGTGGAGTATTAGCCCTGATTTTCTCCTGCTGAATGAATTCAAAGAACCTTCTGTAGTCCTCTTGAGTAAAGGAAGAACTGATTTTTAAACTGCCAGAGCTGACAGACTCTTGCATAGGTCCCTGCACTTGATTAACAGAACTCATGCCCTTGTTTCTTGGCTTCCAACCAGGGGGATAGTCATGTTTCTTATAACATTTCTCAATGGTGTGTCATGTGTATCCACAAAAGCTGCACACAGGTTTCTACTTCTGTTTTGGGAAGACTCTTCTATTGTTATCTGCCTTTGTGAAAAAACCATTCATTCTTGTGATACTGTCTCCTAATCCATTAGCCTCTATGCTTACTTGTCTCTCTTGTTGTGAAACCATAGAGAAAGCCTCACCAACATCAGGCAGGGGTTTCATTAACATAATCTGTCGTCTAGTGTTTGTATAACTATCATTTAGGCCAATAAGGAAGGCAGACAACATATCATTTTCCAAATGTGTCTTTACTTTCTCAGACATGCTGTTCCCACAAGCACAATTAGGAGTACATTCACAATTAGGAATGGGTTTTAGAACAAGTAGTTCATCCCACAATAGTTTCAACTGTGTAAAGTACTCATTTACAGTAGAGTTACCTTGCCTTGATGACTAAATCTCTTCTTCAAGTCCTTCCACACTCCTTCAGCCGTGTTGATCCAAAGTACACAGGTGGCTATAGTGGGAGATAGAGCCCTCAGAATCCATGACAAGAGCATTGTGTTGCATCGTTCCCAGTAGTAATATCTTGGATCAAGCTTGTTTAGAGCAGCCACAAGCCCATTCACAAAGCTCATCTTGTTCTTGGACCTTAATGCCATTTCCATGGTTCTCGCCCAACTATGGTAATTGCTTCTTCCCTCCAGTTGAACAGTCACTAATTGTAGAGTAAGGCTCTCATTAGCATGAAGATGAAGGGGATTCGTCTGATCATTGGGATCAAAATTCCCAACTGAACTCGAAGCAGGGATCTAAGTAGGGTTTTGATTTTGATTCGAAGCAGAAGCTTGACAGGGGGCTGGAATTGAAGCTCCTTGTTGAACCATATTTGCAGATATGGCCATACTCGTGTACTGTAACCTGTTAGAAAGATAAGTAAATATATTTAATTTGATGAGCCAAAGTGTAATTTAAAGCCCTCTCCAAGGGGGCGCCAACTGCTCCACAAATGCCAAAATGGCGATGCTTTTGGCGCTGAAGTCCTCTAATGAAGCGCCAAAAGTGGCGCCATTTTGCTGATGATCTACAGTGCAGCGCCAAATATGGTGTGCACAAAATGGTGTTAACAATTTTAATTCTCACTTTGATCTTAGTCTTTTTTATTAATTCCTTTTGTATCCCTATTTTGTTTTTATAAATTTACATATTTTGTTAAATACATAAATATAAAATTTGAATAATTAAAAATAAATTATATCATTTGAAAAATCGCATCAAGGTGATTAAAACAAGCCTAATATTATATATAGATTAATTAAAAACTAAAGTACATAAAACATAATTTTCATAATATAAAAACGAATACATTCGAAATTAAACAAAACATACTTAGAATTAATAGTCTCCAAGACCACCTCCATTCCCTCCCATATTATCAAAATATTGATTAAATTGACTACTTGACTCAACCCTTCCTCCATGTGTTTGCTCATTGACTACTTGAAGCGCCGGCTATTGAAGTTGATATACGTAGAGATGAAGCTACTCTATTTAAAGAATTTTTTGCACGACATAGACAAATAAAAGATAGAGAAGTGCGGCATGCACTTCGTAATGCATTGATTGAGCATTTGTTATGGCAACGTGTGACTTTGATATGTGTTTCACTTTTATATCTATTGGATAGGAAAAATAAAGTATCATCAATCTCAATTTGAACAAGAGCCACCAACTAATAATGCTCAAGAAGCATTCAATCGTGCACATTCTTCTCTTCGAAGTTGTATTGAGAGGTTGTTTGGAGTATTGAAGAAGAGATAGAAGATACTTGCTAAAATGTCACAGTTAAGTGTGGAAGCCCAAATTGATTTTATTATGGCCACATTTGCATTACATAATTATAATCGGAAAAATTCACATGATGTTTAATGTGCTTGAGCAGCATCCATATCATGTACCGCGCGATGAACTTCAAGATTCAAGTAGTAATATCTTCATCAACAAATTTTAAGTGAGACATCTATTGAGATGAAGAAGATTCGCAACAATATACTATTGCTACTTTATTGTGGAATGTTAAATCATGATTATGCTAATAGTTTATTTCAAAATGTCAAATTTTAATATGTAAACAAACATATTTAAATTTTATGAAGATGTCCTTTTTAATCTTTCTACATTTATCAACTTATCAAAAAGTTAATTTTACTAAACACAGCATAACAACTCTTTAATTTTCAGCTTCTAGCTTATAGCTTTTTAGCTTTCAGCTTTTAACTATCTTTTTAGTTAGTTTGAAACATAACCAATATAAGACGTAATGCACGTTGAGAATAGAACAAGTTGGAGGCAACACATGTTCTTAACAACAACACACGTTATAGTACACCAAATTCTATTTAAATTTAATAATATACTTAAAATTTTCAGCTCGAACATACATTTATCTTATCTTATCTTACTATCTAAAAAAGTCACAAGCCTAGGGATTCACAATAGAGTTAAAAATTCCGCCCAAACAAAACACAATCGTTTTTAGTGATACGAAAGGTGGGATACGCATTTTAGACTTTTTGGCCGGTTAGAAGATTAGAAGATATTGAACATGATCTGCATACCTATATTAATTGCGACCTTTCATATTTCGATAAAGAAACATAGGTATCCAAAATATTTGCAGTAATTAGCGTGTTTACAGTTGAGTCTCTTTGGTATCCGAACAATTAGCATTAATTAGTTGTATGTATACAACTCTTTCTTACAAGCTATGTAAATAGCTCAGTTTATATCAATTCCAATACACCACAAACACTCTATATTACAGGGATTGCAGAGGTTGTTTACAATTCATATACAAATTGCATATTGTCATGCCACCTCTATACTTTCTGGCGAATGGAACAAGTCCTTCAAAAACAATCTCTGCAATTAAAGAGTTGAGTGCATACATATGAAATCCAAGATAGAAGAGGAGGCGAAATGATAAAGTGTAATTAGTGAAGACACAAGAGGTATGCATTTAAATTAAAATACAATAGATGATATAGTACTCAAAAAAATACAGTAGATAAATTATTCAACCAGCTCTACCATTTTACAACTTTTTTTCCACAAAGTATATGGTTTATTTCTTTTGAAATATTGTAGGGGGAATTTTGTTTATGCTCATATTCCAAGGGAGCATGTAGACAAGTATCAATCTAGGTTTAAGGAATGGGTAGTTTCAATTGGATTTTTAGTCAAATTGTATATTACCTTTTTTGTGGTATTTGGATTTTTTTTGTGGTAAATTCATGGCAGGTAATAGTACTGTAAAAGTACTATATAGATGAAAGATACCAGATAAAGTTTTCGTCAGAGATGATTTGTGTAGTGCAGAATAGCTTGCTATGCTACATGGGAAAGATGATACAGGTTTTAGTTTTCTATGCTAACACTTAGTTTTAACTTTTCACTTTGTAATTTCAGGTCAAGAAGGTATAGACAAAGAAAGCTTGGACTTTGTCTTGGACATCTATAAGTCCGCATTTCATATTTACTATTTATTGTAGTTGAATTGTAATTTTACACCTCTATGCAATCTCTAATTTGTAATCTACAGTTCACTACATCTTTAAGTACTTTACAATTGTAAGTACTTTGCCTTATGAAATTCAAAATCATATTTTTTGACAAATACTGCCAAGTAAGCAAAAAGCTTGTAGAAAACAAATACGGGTATATGCAAACAAGCATGTAGTTCTTGATGTATTTTGCATCCGATTATGGTATCATCATTTGCTCAAATCAAGCATATGGTCAGTAAGTTTGAGAAGAAACATATGCTCAGTAATTTTAAAAAGTAGTTCCTGATCAGCAACATTAAATACAAATATATTAAAACAACTTAATACTCATCCATCTCATTTATAATATGGATGAAATTATGATAAAACATACAGCTCATTGTGCTAAACTAATCTAGGAAGGTGAACAGATTATCAATAAATGGTCCCTTAGTCTTCCAATACAGAATACCCCCATATAAATCCACAAAAAATCCCTCACAGAGAACTTTACTAACGACATATTAAGAAGAGGGTAAGCAAGTTCAGAGTTAATGAAGAAGTTAACGAGTTCTACCATAATTGGCAGAAAAAGAAAACAATCTCAGGACACAGGTATGTTCCCACTGCGAATTCTATACAGTGCAACCATATTATGAACATGCTTGGTTAGTAAATATGATAGCATAGAACAATCTCAGGGCACACGCACACTTATTCTGTCGAGAATGAAAAGAAGTACTGAGTTAAAATGTTTTTTGGTAAATAAATAGATACAGAGCCAATTATTAGGGTAGCTAATACATACAACTGAAATCCTTCTACCAACACCATCATCAGATAAAGAATTGTCCAATTTTAGGCAAATTAGAAATTGTATGTATTTACAGTAGTTATATTGCGAACGAAGCATCAAATACCTGAGTTACGAACAATATAGCATACTTAGAATATTCTGTGGCCCCAAATGTATTAGGGTTAGAAATTCTCACTGAATGTTGTAGGGACTCCATCCATTAGTATATTCAACCGTGTTGAATCTGAAATTTGAACATGCACTTCAGTTACAAATTCAAGAAAACTTAGGGTACAATCTAAAATTTCACAATTAATATATTAATCTTCTAGCTATTGTTCAGAATAGAATACTAAAAACTAAGATTTCTTCATCACTGTAATGGAAAATTTTGCTAAATGAAGATTACATAGAGTAGATTAAAAAAATAAGAGATTAGGGGAAGAAAGACTTATCTATAACGAACAATTGTGCTTCTAAGATCATCGATACTACCAGAATTAGAACACATGCACTAAAACAATCGAGGCAGAAATATGTCTCCGGACATAGATTTTCACCTAAGTCAGATAACATGAGATGAACGGAGCTAATGGCTGCATCGCATCGGAAATGAGATGCCGGCAATGAAGACTTATGGAGGTGATAAATTGTGGTCATAGTGGATTACATGTGTAATGCTAGAATAGTTCTAGCATTGCGTGTTTATCCTTTTTTTTTTCTCAAATTTTATTTAAATGAAACAATAAATTTTTTAGGAAAATGAGCTTTAAATTATTTTGTAAATAATTGTCTTAATATACATATATTGTTCATTTAGTTTAAGATATATTTATAAGTATTTTAGACTAAGTACAATAATATTGTGGTTAATGCATATAATCCTATTTGCTTAGGGAACAAAGTTTCTTTGTTCACACAAGAGATGACTGGGAGTAAGACATATTTCAGTTGTGATACTGTGTGTAGAGTAAACTCAGACTCGGCATTTTTGGAGATGTGCATACTCCATAATTCCTTAATGGGCTGCGATGTTCGTGGATTCCAGATCGTGCATTAACATTAAAAGTTGGATCTCCTGTAATGTTGTTGTGAAATATTGATAATTCTTTGAGCTTATGCAATAGTACAAGGGTGGTCATACAATCATTATTGTGTGGACCATGGTTCACACAAGTTCTATGGACCATATTTTGTATACTGTAAAATAATGTACATTTAGTACAAAAATAATGTACATTCAGTACAAAAATAATGTATATTGTATTTAGGGGATGTACATTATTTTTGTACTGAGCGTACATTATATTGTATAATGTACATACAGTATAAAAATAATGTACATTTAGTATATTAAAAATGTACTTTTTATTATGGTCCACATAACATTGTGTGGACCATGATCCACACAATAAGTTGCCGGTGGTCATCACAAGATTGTCAGAACATGTGATTGAAGCCAAAATAATGACCGGGTACAAAGTAGGTAGTTTAGTGTTGATACCTAGAATGTCTATGACTCCATCGGATACAAGATTGTCTTTCAAATTCCGAAGGAGACAATTTTCACAGATGTTGTCATATGCAATGAAAATAAATAAAAGTCAAGGTCAAACACTATCTCATGTTATGTTGCTATTGAAGATACCAGTTTGTACATGGCGAATTGTATGTTGTTGCGTCTAGGGTTAGCAATCCTAAGGGTTTAAAAATTTTAATTTGTTAAAATCTTAATAATAGTTGTACTTCTACGACGAATGTCGTTTACCAAAAAGTTTTTAACAATTTGTAAATAAAATTACAATTTTCATATTTATTACTATTTTGATATCATTTAGATAGTTTATTATTATCATATATCCATTCTTTTTTGTTAATTACAATAACACTGTAAATTAAAATTTTATTTATAGATCGTGCATCGCACGGGTACAATACTAGTTTACTATATAAATCTTTAGTAATATATGATCGGTAACTAAGCAAAGAAAAATTACACCACATACTTAACTTGAATATATTTCTCACTCTCATACAATACATTGCTCTACTTTATGTCTTCAACCATTCTAGCACACTCTTGAGGAAGAAATAATGTTTTACATAAGCCATTCATTTTATTTGTGATCATTACACTCGTATGATATTTCATTGATATTATATTTGTCCTAGCGCGGCGCGCGCGCACACACACACACTATATATATATATATATATATATATATATATATATAAACTCATGATTGAAGATGTGAAGTTAGTTCTTCTTTGAGATGTGGAAATGAAATCCATCTGGGAATCTTATGATAGGAGCTCGGACAATTTTGCCTCCCTTCACCATTTTCCATCTGCCAAAATCCCACAAATAATTAATGATTTTGTATAAAATAATAATATGCTTTTCTTCCTACAAAAAAAAAAAAAAAAAAAAAAAAAAAAAAAAAAACCTAATACATATGCATAGTAATTTGGTCATAGGGTCACGTTCTCAGAGCCGTCAAAACGGACTTTGTCCGTCGGGTATTTTCGTCCCGTCCCACCAAAAGGGCAAGATGGGCTCGTGTTTTAAAAGTCCGTTATAAAAAAAACGGACTATTTTCCTGCCTCTGGGGTAGCCCGCCAGCCTGCGTTTTATTTTTATTTTTATTTTTATTTTCATTCTTTTAAAAGTCTAAATCCTAAATTCCTAATCCTAAAATAAAATAAAACTGAAACTATATAATGCTATTAGTAAGTTATTATGTTTGTTTACAAAATAATGAAATATTTGATTATATTTTAGTTAGTTGATATTTCGGTGTATTGTAATTTAATTTTTAACTTTCTTTTATGTTGAAATTTTATGCAGATACTGAAGAAAGTTCAGTGCAACATCAAATTTGTCCTATAAAGATTCAAATGTTGTAAATCTTGTTGATGACAATGATAAAAATGAAGAAGAAGAAGAAGAAGATGTGAATGTTGGAATGTTCGAATGATGTAATGGACTTATGAATTTATGAACTTACGTACTTAATTAGTTATGTTTTGTACTTTTGTGGAGTTTGAACTTTGAATGTTTGCTTTATGAACTTATGCAGTATGGTGTATTGACTATTTGGATGGAATGGACTCTATGGTACCATTGTTGTTATGATGTGATGAAATAATTTGTGTTATTTACTTATTTTTAATTATTTGTGAACTTTTTACAACTATATATAATGTATGTTATAAACTTATAATATATTTCAATATTTGAGTAACTGTTTTTAGATTTATTAGATAAGTGTTTTAAGTAGATAACAATTCCTTTCAAAAAAGTAGATAACAATTAAGTTATTAACACATTAGAGTTTAGACTTTAGGGACACATAGTAAATAAAAAATAAAAAATAAAAAATAAAAAATAAAAACTGGCGGGCTTTGGCAGGGCCCGCGGGCCTAGGATGCAGGGCGGCTACCCGTACGTAGACCCGTTGAAATTCATTGCATCATAAGAAATTGATGTTTCAATGCTCCTAGCATTTTAAAAGGAACTGATTCAACTTTAAAGAGTGTGAGTTTCCTGCGCTTGGATTGATTTGATTGATTACTGTAATTGGATTATTTGGGAATATTTTCGTCAATAAATTAAAATTTCCTTTACACGCATGACAGTATAATATATTAGTGTATATATATATAATTTGGACTTACTTGTAATTTGTTACCAAGTTGTGAAGAAAGGTGGCTAAAAACAGCCTACTGTATTCTGCACCAGCACATTGCTTCATTCCAGATCCAAATGGCATGAAATGCTTATTAGCACTATTTTGCTGGATTTTCTATTTTTTTTTTTTTAAAAAAAAAGCAAATGAAATCAGCTTTGACTAGACAGATGAAAGAATAGGGAAGGTTAAGGTGAGAGCATATAAATTAAAAGACTAATTTGATCTATTAATTTCGGTGGATAAATGGTCGAGATTTGTTAGAAATTAAGGGAAAAAAGTGGATTCTCAGGCACGGAGCCAGAAATTCGGTTGAGGGGGGCGAAACAGTACAAACGGATTTAGAAAAATTTTTCAGTAAAGGCAAAACATTAAAACAAAATCGATAATTTAAAAATAAATAAATAAATTACCTAAGAAATATAGTTGTAAATATTGTTGGATATGGACGAAAAATAAAATACATCAAAACTTTATAAAAATATTCATAACAAAATATGAAAAATAATTATTTAATAAAATAATTTGAATAGAAAACACATTATAAATTACACATCTTATTATTAATATATATAAAAGAATGTTATATATATATATATATATATATATATATATATATGTGTGTGTGTGTGTGTGTGTGTGTGTGTGTGTGTGTGTGTGTGTGTGTGTGTGTTAAATATTAAAAAAGAAGTCATAGGGGAATGGGTAAAAAGAATTGTAAAACTATGTTGATGCTAAAATTTAAACCCTTAACCTCACTATTGCCAAATATATGCTCTACCACCTAATCTAATTCACTTCTTGGTAACATTTTATAGTTTTTTTTATACTAATCTATATATATATAAAAGTAAAATCCTCCATCCCAAATTTTCCCCCCAAAACTTAAGGACATTTGTGTAATATTCAAATTTAATTAATTATAAAAATTATATATTATTCATATCCGCGTATACATACTTATTACTCTATATATGTTTCCTAAATGTTCCATGTCTTACTAATTAGTTAAGGAAATAATAACAACTAAATATGGTAGCAAATAATATTACCCTAATATTTATGGCTACTAAATATTAATAACATACAATAAAACAAATAAGGATAATAACAAATAAATATGGTTACAAAATAATATTACCCTAATATATGAGATCTAATAAAACCATAATAAGCCTATCAGTACCCAACTTTTGAGTTGTACCAACTTCAGACCATATATACATCATAAATATCGAATACAAACACTCAATATACAGTAGGGTACTTATACGTTATTTTCTTCTCTCCATCATGGGTCTATTCATACTGCAACGTGATTGCTCAACCTTCAAAACAAGAAGCGCAATCAAGGTCAGAGTTGTACGCACGTGGTTGGAAAGAAAATGGTCATCTGGAATCAAGAGTATAGAGGTTGTTTCCATGATGTAGAGGTACATGCATTTAACGTAAGACTGTTTCATTCAGTTTTTAACATCCGAAATTAGTAAGTTGTTCTCTTTTTCAGATTTCAGATTTGCATATATGAGATCTATGCGAAGTAAGTATATATTCAATCTATAGTTTTTTCTGTTAATTTTTTAATGTACAGTCTGAGTATCATTAAACTACTACACACTTATTTGTAGGGTTAATCAACCAAGGTGTACGTTTTGGGATGAATATGTAGCCAAAATTGAGCCATTCTTTCAATCAAACTTCACTGATCTTGTGGTTGTTTTGCTACAGTTTTGTACGGTTAAACATGGTGTTAATACTGAGTATAAGCCTTATTTTTAATGTTCGTACTACTATTCTTATATACAGACACATACTAATGGTTTTTATTTGATTTTAGATGGAGGGGTGAGACTTTGCAGCTCCTATGATGTCACCTAAGTGTTGTTCAATCAAAACTCATTGAGTTTATCAATTTCAAAGAAAGGTTTCTCATTTTTAGTTTTAAGATCAATTTCAGAGGT